GGCCAGGCGGGGTGAAAGGTGCCACTTAGTATTTTTGTAGTGCCCCCCCTTGGGGGCATAGGGTCGTGATCTTTCTCTATGTGTCTCCGCCCTCTGTCTCTCTTCCTTCATTGCTTTGTCTTCTCGCTCTCTTTCCTCTCTCTTCTCTTTCTCTCTCTCTCTCCTCTCCTCTCTTCTCTCTTCTCTCTTCCTCTCTTTCTCTCTCTCTTTTCTCTCTCTCTCTCTCTCTCTCTCTCTCTCATCTCTTCTCTCTCTCTCTCTTCTCTTCTCTCTCTCTCTCTCTCTCCTCTCTCTTCACTCTTTCACTCTCTCTCTTCTCTCTCTCTCTCTCTCTTCTCTCTCTCTCTCTCTCTCTCTCTCTCTCCTCTCTCTCTCTTCTCTCTCTCTCTCTCTCATATATATATATATATATATATATATATATATATATATACTATATATATATATATATATATATATATATATATAATATATATATATATATATATATATATATATATATATATATATATATATATATATATATATATATCTGTGTGTGTGCGTGTGTGCGTGTGTGTGTGTGTGTGTGTATGTATATATATCACAGATATACATACATACATACATACATACACACACACAAACACACACACACACATATGTGTGTGTGTACATATATTTTTCATCTATTTATTTATTCATTCATTTATCACCAAGAAGGTTGAACGAACGAAAATTCTTGAAGGAAAAAGGAATGGTGTCACTCTCAAGGGAAGTACTGCAATAAATATCGTAAAATTTTTTGCGTATGTTGGAATTCTCACAATTTCAGGATTTATTGATATGTTTATATTTATCAATCGATCTCTTTATCTATATGCAGCCTTTTTTTAGTTTTTATTTGTCCTTCTTTGTCTCTCTCGCACTCGTCTCTCTCTCTCTCTCTCTCTCTCTCTCTCTCTCTCTCTCTCTCTCTCTCTCTCTCTCTCTCTCTCTCTCTCTCTCTCTCTCTCTCTCTCACTCTCTCTCTCTCTCTCCTCTCCATGTGTGTATCTTTTTATATCTGTCTCTCACGTGCACAAAAATAAAGTATTCACGCATAAATAGACAACCCACACACACACACACACACACACACACACACACACACACACACACACACACACAACACACCACACACACACACACACACACACACACACACACACACCACACACACACACACACACACACACAACACACACACACACACACACACACACACATACGAAAAAATCCATCAACATATCAGTGTATGAGTGCCTCTGTGTGCGTGTGTGCGTCCCAATGAAATGCAAGCATGGACACGACCACCTGTGTTGCAACCTCATGCAATTTGTCAACAAAGTGTCATAGCGATCCAGTGTATCTAAAGAGATGCATTAAAAAAAGTGGATGAAAGCATTAATGTTCTTGTAGCTGGGTTTGTTCATTGTTATTGGAGTTATTAACATAATTATCATTTTCGTTATTTTAGTGCGTAATTTCATCACGGTAATTTTTTTCATTGCTGTTATTGTTATCAATCGTTTTATTATTGTTGTTGTTCTTGGTATTATCGTTACTATTAATACATTAATGCTAATAATGATAATGATAAATAATGTTAATAATGACAGTAAGAATAATAACTAATTGAAATGGTTACATTCAAATTATGTCTACATTAATCATTTCATTAATGTATCTAGCGATTCATATTTATTGTATTTAATTAAGATTCACTTAGAACAGTACTCCACAAACCGAAACCTATACTACAAAACAAAACAATGCTGACCTGCAAATAACCCAATCGTTAAAATATCCCACCCCGGCCTACCTAGCGAAATATTGCAATAACACCTCTACGGAATAGATAACATTATTTATAATAACTCTTATCAACAATAAATATTATGATTGTAGCTAAATTATGATATTATCTGATTCCGATTGGATATACCTACTAATAAATCTTCATTCTAACTCCTTGGCCACATTGAATTCTATCAATTTTGGCATTAATATTAACTCAATACCATTAGACAAATTCGTCATTATTTACAGTTATTACAATTATTTACTTTAATTTTGGCCAGTACGCTCTGTTCAATTAGTGACTAAGCCTTTTCTTCATTTCGCTGTAATAACATAGGAACTGAATGCTGACCCTTCCCTCCGAAGTAATCACCACCTAATTAATCACTTCATATAATAGAATGCCGCTAATATCTTATATTCTTATATACTAAATTATTTTAAACACAATCAAAAATAATGATCCCCAGCCACATAACTGGAACAGACAATAGTAAATAAAAAATCTGCACATAAGTCAAAATAGGTTCGAGTAGCTCGATAGGAATCAACCTAATAGACAGTAATACACAAACAATAGAGATATTATAAGTCAAATGCTGTAAACACAACCTCACAATAACACATGATTAGATTATCGCACTCTAATACACACAAGATGATCCATTAACCAACTCACAAACATCCCTATCCAACGACTACCAAACCCCGCGCGTTAGTTCCGCACTGTATCATAAGCTCCAACTGCGAATTCTTATAAGGATTTGCAGTAATGAAAGAATCGATCCTCACCATGACCTCATCTCGCTCCGCCAGCTGTGTCTAATTTAAATTAGCTCACCATCACCAGTGTGAATATTGATAAGCCATATCTATCTGCTTGTTATAATATCCTCTTATTCTAATCATTTCAAAATAGTTCTCATAAGCTATTGATGATCATATATTTAATTATTGCTATTATCTTTATTGTTCTAACCATCAATATTATCATTACGACAATTATCGCCATTATCACCATCGTTACAACTATTTGCTATCTCTCTCTCTCTCTCTCTCTCTCTCTCTTCCCTCTCCTCCTCTCTCTTCTCTCTTCTCTCTCTCTCTCTCTCTCTCTCTTCTCTCTCTGCTCTCTCCCTCTCTCTCTCTCTCTCTCTCTCTCTCTCTCTCTCCATCCTCTCTCTCTCTCTCTCTCTCTCTCTCTCTCTCTCTCTCTCTCTCTCTCTCTCTCTCTCTCTCTCTCTCTCTCTCTCTCTCTCTCTCTCTCTCTCTCTCTCAGTCGGAATCTCTTTCCACCTCGCTCTCACCCATTCAATATATCCTTTCTCTTGCTGTGAGGTCAATGAAGTTAAAAGAAAAAAAAAAGAGGAAAATAATATTTCATTTTCAGGAAGACGTAAATGGAAAAGAAAACGATAATGTATTATGTTTGAAAAGGAGGAAGAAAAGGGAGAAAACAATATAAATTAGATCATAAATCAAGCGCATGAATTGATAAAGAATAAAAAAATATGAGTATATAAATAAACATATTCAATCAATTAATAAATAAACAAACAAGGAGGCAGACGAATAAATGACTGAATGGATAAATAGTGATAAATAGATAAGTATATAGATAGATACTTCAACAAGTGAATAAGTAATATCAGTGAATAAATATACAGATAAACAAACCAATAAAAAAGAAGAAGTGAGCAAGTATATAAATTAACAATTATGGTAATAATAATAATGATATTGATGATGATAATAATGATGATAGTAATAATGATAATAATAATAATAATAATAAAATATTGATAACAACAATAAGAGTAATAATAAAAAATGATAAGAATAAATACAAACATAACAATAAAAGCGGGAAATATTTCTACACAACCCAAATCCCATACCTGCTTGTTCCAGAAATTCCTCTCCACTGCATCAACGTTACTCTTCCTAGGCTACCTCCTGAATGCAAGGAAGAGAGCCAAAAGAATTCACTGTTGTGTGTAGAATATTATGAGCTTTCTTAAGGAATCGTAAGAAATGAGGTCAGAGTGTTTGTTGTTCAAGTGCAGTAGTTGACCTTGAGGGTGAACACGCATGGAGGAGACGCACAAACAGCTATATGGAAAAATGGGAGATTGCCTGGGAGAAGGAGATAGAGTGTGAAAAGGGAGATAGAAATAAGAAAGTGAGAGTGGGATGAGAGGT